AAATTTTTTGGCCTCTACATTGAAACTCCAAGCCCAAGGACGGAACCAGCGAGTTTTCCGGGTGCTGTCGAACTCCTGATCTCTCTCAGCCCCCCATCCCCAATAGGGCTTTAATTAAAAGCTTCCACAAACTCTACCCTGAAGTATCGACCTAACCTGAGATTCTAGTGGCCTAGACTTGCAAGAGGCAGGTTGGGCAAGTGTAGAGGGAGTCTACATACATCATTGTAGAACGTGCCCTCAACCTCAGTAGCCGGAACTCGTCCCCACTGTTCATCCATACTCAGGTGTACAAGTCCGTGAACCCTGAACCTCAGAATCTGAAAGTCCTAAACCCGCGACAGCCCTCTTTAAGCTATTTTGTAGATCAAAACCCTAATCCCCAAACCCTAAANNCCTAAAACCTGAATCCTAAACCCTAAACTGAATCCTAAACCCTTAACCCTAAAACCCTAAACCCTACACCCTAAACCCTGAATCCCAAACCCTAAGCCCCTAACCCCTAACCCCTAAACCCAAACCCCTATAAGCCCTAAACCCTGAATCCCAAACCCTGAACCCTAAACCCCTAAACCCTTTTAACCCTAGACCCTAGAGCCCTCACCCCTAACCCCTATAAACTCCTAAGCCCTATAGAGCCCTCTTGCTGCGCTGCCGCTGAAAGTCACTGCCCAATGCACGGTGCGACTCGCAAAGCCCTGGTCCGAGGCGCGCCCGAAGTCCTCCGAATGCACTGAAAGCGGTTTAGGGCTTTAGGGTTTTAGGGTTTAGGGTGTAGGGCTTATAGGGTTTAGGGCCGTTTGGGGTTTAGGGTTTAGAAGTTATCAGGTTTAGGGGTTATAAGGTTTAGGGTTTAGGGGCTGGGTTTAGGGTTTAGGGGTTAGGTTTAGGGTTTAGGGTTTAGGGTTTGGGGGTTAGGGTTTAGGTTTTTAGGGTTTGGGGGTTTGGGTTTAGGGTTTAGAGTTTAGGGGTTAGGGTTTAGGGTTAGGTTTAGGGCTTGTCTTAGGGCATGTTAGGGGCTTAAGCTTTGAGGGCTTCAGGATAAGGGTTTAAGTGGGGTTAAAAAGTCCTTCTTGGAGTCTTATGGATAGCTGTGCCTATGGGTTTTACAAAGCAGCTTGTGGAGTATTCTAGAGGATTGTTGAAAGGGTTTTGCTGGGTGTCACGAGCACCAGGGGACTCAGTAAGGAGGCTTTTGACTGGAGCACTGGCTACACTTTTACATACTTGTATCCATGATTCGGGCGTTTCGATCCATCGTTACAGCTACCCATGCACTTTCAAGCGGGATCTCAGGCTTATTTCGGATGGGTGGTGTCTAGGATTTCAACATGGGCAGAAGATCGCGGGCTGATGTTTTCCCTAAACCCTAAACCC